TGGTGTTATGATTATGTTCTTCTATTCATGGAGAAGACAAGATGAAGTATATTTTATGTTTCAAATTATTATCAGATTTCCTAGCTTTTTATTGATGCTCTTTTATGAATGATTATAGTGGACTCCTTTTTTCCTTAGTTGAGATAAAAGAAAAATCATCCATTTCTTGTTGCATTTTTTTTTTTACATGGCACAAGATTTTATTGGTTACTTACTCTTTGTAACATGTTCAATCGACTGTCCAATGATCACTTGATAGTACTATGTTTGTGTTTAAAGATTTTAGTTTAGTCAGCTTCTTTGGTACGGATACTATGCAGATCAAAGATATGGCGTCGAAATTCTCGGGTTCTTCAAAACAATCCAAGCCAATCTCAGGCTCCTCAAGCAGCAACTTGAGGAAAGAACAGAGAAAGTTTCCGGATTTTGACACTGCATCGGATAGTGTTCCATACCCTTATATGGGTGGAAGCACGAGTTCGACTCCTGCTTGGGACTTCACTAGCTCGTCCCATCATCAAGCTGGACGGTCAGACTCAAGATTCACATCAATCTATGGCAATGAGCGCGAATCCATCTCTGCTCAGTCGTGTGATGTGGTACTAGAGGATGATGAGCCAAAGGAGTGGATGGCTCAAGTAGAGCCCGGTGTTCACATTACATTTGTGTCACTTCCTAGTGGAGGAAATGATCTTAAACGGATACGTTTCAGGTATTTGAAATCCATTCTCTTCACTCAAAACAACCTATACGCAGAAATATTGTACTTCTTGACATACAATGTTTCGACATGAGATGAGCTAACATTTTACTTGTGTCTTTATCGAAGCCGGGAGGTATTCGACAAGTGGCAAGCTCAGAGATGGTGGGGTGAGAACTACGATAGAATTGTTGAGCTTTACAATGTTCAGAGATTTAATCGGCAAGCCCTTCAAACCCCTGGTAGATCCGAGGACCAGGTAAAAAAATCACTCTTTTGGAGGCTAGAGAATGTAAGACACATAAGCACAAAGATTTGCAATGTTCAAATAAGCAAAGGTTCTTCAGACAAGAATCTTGCTGTGTGAATGTTCTCTTGAGCCCCCACAAAAGAAAAAGGTTTATGAGTGATCTAAAACTTATGCTTGTGTTTGTTTCTTCTTCAGTCGCAGAGAGATTCAACTTACACAAGAATCGAATCAGCAAGAGAAAGCAGAGACTGGACACCAAGAAACAACTTCAGACCTCAAGGAGGCAGCAGCATCCCACATCACTTCTATGGACCTCCAATGGACGCAGCACGAACCACAACCTCGTCTAGGGATGAACCGCCTTCCATGAGTAACGCTAGTGAAATGCAAGCTGAGTGGGTCGAAGAGGACGAGCCAGGGGTTTACATTACCATCAGACAGTTACCAGACGGGACCAGAGAACTACGCCGTGTCAGATTCAGGTAAGGGGTTTTTTTTTTACCATCATTTCTATACCGAGTGATTGGCGGTTAAGCGTTAACCAAATCGAACCGGGTGTTTGCAGTCGGGAACGGTTTGGGGAAGTGCATGCCAAGACATGGTGGGAGCAGAACAGAGACAGAATACAAACACAATATCTCTAAAGGGAGAAAAAGAGACCACTATTTTATTATCTTCTTTAACAAAAACACAATTACACACAAAAAAAAAGTCAGAATTTTGTTCGTCTTCTTGGAGATTTGGAAGAAAATCAGAATGTGATATGAACACAAAAATGAAAATTTGATCTTGTTTAGAGATTTGTAGTTAGTTAATTCTCGGCGGTTTTTTTGACAGCTATGTAATTTTCCTGGACGATGAGATGAGCTTTATTTTATTGATTCATTTTATCCATGTGTTTTGTTTATTAATTCAAGTGATTAGATTATTTCTCAATTTGTTTGTTACTACTAGCATAGTCTCATGCCAATTTAGCTTTTCAAATATTCTACTAAAATCTTCAGAGGGAGAGGTAAAAAGAAACAGAATATCAAAAGACTTTAAGAAAGTGTAGGAAGCTTTCTTAAATTAGAAGCCATTCTAAATGTTTCTCTAAGAGCTTAAGAAATTGAACAATGATTTCTAGCAGATAGTTATGAATCTATGGTGGTTATGTTGCAGAGAACCATCGTCGTCTAGTTCAACTTCTGCTTCAGAATCTCCCTAGACCAAATGTGTGATCAAAATGTAATTGATCCAGTTAAGGGAACTGAGGATTGAAGGAAACTTGTGTTGTGTATGATGCAAGGTACTGTGGGGATTGCGTGGCGGTCTAAATTGGGAAAGTATCTATTATGATTAACTATAAAGTATATAACATTCACTATGATTTGGTTTTGTTCTTACACACAGGATTAAAGAGAGCATAGACCAGCTCCGGTTCTTAGATACTACCGGATGCTTTGCATTCATCTAGTAGATTAAGCAACTTGTTTTCAGGCGCACTGACCGAAGGCAAAATCAGACGGTTGAGATTGGATTGGCTAGGTTGTGATGATGGTTTTGTCACAGAGCCATCAGATACTTCATTCATTCCATCTTGAACAATGGCCAAATCGCCTCGTCTTCTCATTGAAGCCGATACTCTCTCTTTCCAGATTTTCCCGTCCTGTCCTTAAAAAGAATCACAAAAAAGAGTTAAAAGATTTCTACAATCTTTGCAGTTTCACAATAAAGAAACTCTTTTATATTTGTTTCTTGGAATTTCAAGAAACAATTGATGTAAGGAATAAGGATTATACATTTAGAATGGATGGCTCGGGAAGTGGACATTGGATCGGTTGATCGTTGTCCAAAGGCTCAATCGGGTGTTCCACCGGTTTAAATTCTGTTTCTTCTTCGATCCCATGAGTTGAAGTTGGTGCGGTGTTTGGTAAAACAACATGATCAGAACTTGGAGTCATTGCTCCCCTCTCATCCTGATCATAACACAAGATTCATGTCAAGTATAGCTTGAAACCAATTTTTATAAAAAATTTGATAGAAGCAAAACACTTTTACAAAGGTGATAAACAGAGAGAATGTTTTGGCTTGAATCAATGAAAGGAGCTCAAAAGATTCTTCTGGATATATAGAAAGAGCAAAGCCCTATTGTTAGCATCTCAAGATCTGCAAGAGAGCTAAACCAAAAACACCAAATCTACTAGAGAAGGATCATAATTAAGAAGGAATCACTACGAACATAAAGCTCAAGTATTGTGACAAAAAAAAAAGAACATAAAGCTCAAGCAAAAATCTACCAGAACAAAATCTTCCATACAACTTGAACTACAAAAGCAAACTAAACAAATAAAACCCTTAACTTGTTCGAATTTGGAAGCAATGAAACCTGTACTGGAATCAGACAAGGAAGTAGGAAAGAGAGCTTACGATGGCACTCTGTGTTCGTCTATGGCCGTTTCTACCAACAGAAAATTTGGAGAAAATACCAACCATGCTTCTACAACTTCGATTAGGTAGTTTCTTGGTAAAGAAGAATCCTCCTTGATCTTGATCTTGAATTTTGATTGTTTCCAGAGAAAACAGAGAAAAGAAGCAGTAAAAGAAAGAAATAAACTTTGTCCGAAGAAGAGTATAGATTCTGCAAATCACTAAAGCAGAATAAAAAAAGCAGCCACAAAGGTGGTTTCTTTAAATCTTACAGAATATTGCATTGGAGCAATGATAAATGCTTTTTTGGCTTTAAGTTTTTAACTTTGCTTGGCTTGAACAGATTCTTGGTTACTTATGGC